TGTCAGTTTTCTCACTCCATTTGGTGCTTGGCTGAGTTCTTTATCTCTTCATTTGATGTTTTAGGGTTTCAGGATTGTTGTTTTCTCTGTTCGGCTTAGTTTTTCAGATCTTTGCTGTGGAGGGACAGCATGGTGCTTCTGCCTAGAGCGCCATTTTGCCGGAAGTCCCTAAATTTGCTCCTAAATTCTTGATAGACAGTGGACTGTCTCTTTCTCCTTAAATTTACACTTGTTGCTGGAAGATCCTGGGATTCCTTGACCAGCCTTTTGTGAATTTAATATTTGCCAGCGTTTCTTTTCCACTATCTTTTGTTTTGTCAACATTTCCCACTTAACATTCACAGTCTGACAATATCCAGATCCTTATATAGCCTTTCTTGATGATTTGTGTCCACAAGCCTATCACATGAATCTCGGTCAGTGGTACCCACATGAATTAAATCGAAGTATTGAAATCTTTGAACCAAACTTTACATATAATTCCTGACCTTCTAAGCAAATGCACAGACAGGAATTTCGTTTTCTTCCAAAGATACTTTAGCGTGACGCAAATATAGTCTAATTTCATGTGTGCGTTTTTCTCATTTTCTTGATCTCTTCATTTATTGATTTTTTTAATATGAAGTTCTTCCTAGTTTTTTTGTTATTATCTGTCAGTCATCTTGAAAAAATCTGTGTCTCATTGGAACATCATGAAATCGTAACAGAAATTTAAAGAAACTTTAAATTTCCCATTTTTTGCTGATTATTTTAATAGTTGAATAATTACCACTAGAGAATTAAAATTTTTTTTTGTTTAGTCTGATATGTTAGTCCTTAAGGAAACCTGCTAATTAAAGTATTGTTATTATAATAGACACTTTTATCTTTAATATTTTGTAAAGCTAGTACTTTATCAATAGGGATGAGGAATAAACTGTTCTGGGTGTTAGGTATGATACTGTAGGAATTTAGGAAATGTAGCTAGATATTCCCTTGTTGAGTTTGCTGCTTGTTTGTGTAGGTAAACAGCTTTTGGGCTTTTTACTACTTTCATTCATGGTTTAGCCATTGTAATATCATCTCCTGCATTCTGTGGAGACTATACCAGTTAGGAATTATATTCAGCCGCAAGTAACAGACACAAAAAATAATGGTCAGACAAGATAAAAGTTTATTTCTCTCTTATGTTAAAAAACAGATGGATAATTCAGGCTTTACGATGCTCCATATATCATCAGGACCCAGGCTCCTGTTTTTCTCTTCTACCATTCTAGCATGAAGCTTCTGTACTCAGGATCACCTCATGAATCAAGAAGGGTGCTAGAGCTCCAGCTATCGTATCTGCATTCCAGTCTGATAACAGAAGGATGTAGGGAAGGGCAAAAGGGTACACATTTCGTACCTTCCCTTTTAAGGCATTTCTGAAGTTTGACAATACTTCTTCTTATCTTTTATTATCCATAACTCGGTTATATGACCATAACTAGCTACAAGGGAAGCTGAGAGATGTGAACTTTATTCCAGGCAGCAATTTATACAGCCAAAAATCAGGATTCTGTTACTAAGAAAGAGGGGAAAAGAAATATTTGGTAGGTACCTGGCAGTCTTTGCATAAGAAAGATAGCCCTTACCCTCAGTAAACTTCCAATCTAATGAGAATATTAATCATCATATAGAAAACAAGATGCAAATCACATAAACGTGTATAAACAAATACCAATTTCATATAGTATATGCATAACATAAAATTAACCTGAAAGTTGTGTATGCTAACACTAATGAATTTAATAATGTTTGTCTTAAAATTTAGAATTCTTTTGGAGAAACAAATTGGACTACCTATATCACTTAGCTAAGCAGAAATAAATAGAATTTCAATGACCTTATTAAATGTTTCAGTAAACACTTTAGTTTCAAAGTATTGGAGAGTGGTAGCCTCTTTAGTCTTTTATTCCTCCCACCGTCCACCCTTTTTTTTTTTTTAAACTTATCTCCCTAACATCCAGAGAAACCTTAGCTTGAGAGTAGGGGTGGGGTATTTACAGACCAAATTTTCAACCCCAGAGCCTTTTTTTTTTTTAACCTGTACAAAAGTATTCTCCAGGACCCTTGAATCTTAGAATAAATGAGACCAGGCACAAGAAGTCAAACAAAGAAGTTAAAGCATTAAAAGATCAGAAGTATGAAACCTTTGAAAAGGGAATGGAAGTGAGATTAAGAAGAATTTGGAACTAACCAGACTATATTTTTAATATGTTTTAGATATTGCCTATCTGAGCCTAATATACTTGCTCTGGGGCATCAAGTTTAGTATTCTTAGGCCTTCTCTGACCGGGGACTATGAACTTAATGTTGCCTGCTACCCACTTTACTAGAGGAGGAGATTAACACTTGACCAGGCCTGAAGTTTTAAGGGTAAACTTTAAAAAAAATACCTTCCTAGAGATGTCTCTTAGTTCGTTTTGGTATTTCATTTCAGAACCTGCATAAAGCAGCTTGTGTGATTCAAGCTTATTGGAAGGGTTTCCAGACTAGAAAGAGAATAAAGAAGCTTCCGTCTGCTGTGACTACTTTGCAAAGGAGTTTCAGGTAAAAAATTTTGTTGAGAGGAATGATGATTTGAGAGTGGCTAGGGACATCTTATCAGATGTAACTGAATGAAAACTTAAGGTTTTTCAAGTGGACTAAATGAAATACTGAAGACAGGGCCCAGTTTTTTATATAACTAACCCATCCCGGTTCTTAGAGGCATTGGAAAGAACACGGACACACAAAAATATGATTAAGCTTCTAGGTCATTTATGATAAAGAGCCATCTCAGAGGTGATTTTTACATGTAGCCTAACTTAAATCTAAATTTTAGTTCATTAAAGTGAAACTTGCATATTACAGAAGTCAACAGTTTCGTTTTGTTTTAGAAAAACTGAAACTATTCTTTTAATAACTGCAGCTGCATTTTTCAGTTATAGTTTAAAATAGTTCTGGGGCTCAAAAGAGCATATTGTCACAGGGTGATAGAGTATTTATTTAAGGCAAGACATGGAAGTCACTCTGGTTTAACTCTCTCCCTTAGTGGGCATCCTGTTCATTGATGAAAAATTCCTTCAGGGGAGACTTAAAGATAAGTTATAGGTATTACCTGGCATGAGTATTATTGGCAAAGAAAAGCATTAATGTGTTAAATGTCAAGTGCCTAATATGTACCACGTGCCATGCTGCATCTTGGGTAGAGTTAAACAGACTTGAGTTTTTATCCCAGCTCAGCAACTTATTGGCTGAGCAACCTTGGATAAGTCGCCCTACCTCTCTCAGCCTCAAATTTCTTATCTATAAAATGGGAACAATAGTCCACCTACCTTACAAGATTAAGATAATATATAAAATTAGAGGTAAAGAATGAAATCATATAAAGTTTTTCAGCATATTACCTGACACTTAGAAAATGATAAGAGAAAAAAATGCTTATGGTACATTTTCTTTCCTTGAATATTCATAAATCTAGTCAGAAAAACCAATACGTAAAATAAGTGATCATAGTATTCATGAGAGACAAGTATTATGCATTCTAGCATTTCTCAAAGTTTACTGCCTGTCTTACAGGATATTTCTTTAAAAAAAAATTAAAAGAGCAATTCAATGGCCAAATAAATTTGGAAAATACTGAATATTTTGAGGCTCATAATGCATATTCATCTATTCAGAAAAGTCTGAGATGTTCTTGGTATAGTCTTGCCTTCTGTGCTGAATTCAGGTAGAAAAGTTATTCCTTATCGATCCTATTTGCTATCATCCTCATCTATCTTTCCTCTTGCATTTAAGGGTACCATGGATTCAAACTTTTAATGTTTGGTCCCACAATAGTTGCCAATCTTACTGGTTTACTTTCTCTTTCAACATGAAAATCTTTATTTAAAAGAATCCCAGGACTACAGACCATATCAGTTATAGACCATATCCAAGTATATCTATGGATTCTAGATAATACTTCACTATTTTAAAATAGAAATTCCATTGCTTTCTTTATGTAACAAAACCAGACCAGTTATAAATATTTCCATTCAAAGAGATTAGCTGTGAAGCCAGAATGATTTCTGTCTTACATCGTAGGAGTTTGTTCCCTTTCCAGTATTTTGAACTAGAGGTTTTAGGACACATTGAAGTATAGTTTTAATCTTTGGGTTCTATTGAATTTTTTTAATTTCAAGTTTGCTGCAGGCCTCAGTACCTTTCCTCTTCTGTTGGTTGCTATAGTTATGCAAATTTCTCTTGCTTCTTTTGTAGGTGGGATTTCTGCAAAGGTTATTTCTGTCTCTTTCTGGTCAGGTCATTATCTGAAAGTAACTCCACCCCCCCCCCCATGCTTTTTTGTGAGGGGCTGCCCACCCTTCAGGAGCCCTGCTGGCACAGTGGTTAAAGTGATCAACTGCTAACAGAAAGGTCAGCGGTTCGAAACTACCAGCAGCTCCGTGGGAGAAAGATGTGGCAGTCTGTTACCATAGAGATTTACAGTGTTGGAAACCCTATGGGGTCACTGCGAGTCAGAATCAACTTGATGGCAGTGGGTTTTGGTTGGCCAACTCTTCATGCTTTTGGATCGCAATTCACCAGAGCTCTTTAGATTCAGCAAGAGGCACTCTTATGGTCACACCTTTGCTAAACACTTTCATGGGGGTTTCTTTTTTATTTAATCACTTTTTATGGTCAAAAACTTCATTTTGTATCAGGTATTCTTCTAAGCAAGCTTTTCTGAACCAGCTAACAAGTGCTTCATTCACCTTAGGGAAATCTCACAATTTACCCTGCCTCTATCATGGTGCTAATGTTTTGGTGTTTTTAAGTTATACTTGTTTGACTTAAGAGAGACTGAGCTCCTTAAGAGCAGAACTGTGTCTTTTATATATCTGCTTTGCCCAGCAGCTCACACAGGACTTCTCAAGTTCTAGGACAGAGCAATTCTAGAAGAATCCCTGGTATGTTGGCAGCAGATGGTTTGGTCAGCCCTCTCTTTGATGGTAAAATTCAGGTCGATTAAATGTAAATCATGGAATGTATTTACATAAATAATTTTTAGGATATGATGTCTCATCAGTAAATTCCTTTTCAGAAGTGTAGTCCAGATGCCAGAAGGTCAAATGCCTACAATTTCTTACAAAGGAACCAGTTGAATGAATAATCTTTTAATCTTTGAGTGATCATAGAAACTATTAACCACAGAATAACTAGAACGTACTAAAGCAGGGGGAGGAAATAGCCTTCAAAATCACATCAATTCCTAATAAATGTTTTCAAACATGAAATTAAGACATATGAATGCAGAAACACTCATATTTACAATTACATAGTGACTGTTTCAATCACTGAACCTCGCTTTTCTACTGACTTCCTGATTTGTATTTTACTTCCACCTGCATGCTCAATGGTCTTTTCAATTTTGCCATATTTCACAGCCTGCATGTCTAAACTGTTTGCAAACCCAGTTTTCTGACAGATTAAATATCGTGGAAGTGCAGTTTTAATGATTACCATTAAAAATATATTTTAATAAAAATATTAATAAAATATTGATAATGCAATAGATATTATAATCTATTACAATTAGAAATTGGATTTCTAATTTCTAAAAAAAGTTCCTTTTTTTTTTTCTTTTTAATCAGTTTGAAAGGAAACTGTTTGACACCTACTCTCCTTTCCCATCCATAGGTGGGCAAAGGGCTGAACTAGATTAGTTAAAACTTTATTATCTACATGCTGTACAACCTAAACGTTTTGGGTAGGTTCTGTAGGAGAATCTAGTTTCTATCAGCCATCCTTTGGGAAGGGAAAAGCACTTACCTACTTGATCTCCAACTTTCAGGAACAGAAAGAAACACTTAGAAACTATTCGACTAGTCCATCCTCTAGAATCTGTTCTCCTTTTGGCACACACACACACTTTGATAATACAGATAAAGAAAGAAGTTCTAAAACAAGTAACTCTGGCCTCAACTCTGACCTAAGTGGAAAGCCAAAGAAAATTGAAGTTGTAATTGATGACAGTTAAGAAATTGTAAGAAAACAAACAACCACACACACACACACACACACAATTTTATCAAAATAATTTTGTGAGTTTTCCTCTCTGCTTTTAAAGGTTTCTTTTTAAATTTGTCTAACACTTGTTTTTGCTTGTTCTAAAAAAAAAAAAAAAATTGAAAATCATGATAACCCTCTCTCTAACTACAACACTATGAAATCTAACTGTTAACTACAAAGCTCTAGGCAAGGAACCACATTTGTTGGCAGTTTAATCTAATTCCAGTAAAAGAATCTAAAAATAAACAAATGTTCTTAAGTGAGACACGTACAAATGAAGTCTATAAAAGTCAAAAAATAATGTATTCTACCTCTCTTTTCATCTTATGCCCCTTGGTTTCTTTTTCTATGGCTACCTGAAGGCATTTGGAGTATATTTACAGTATACCAAACTTGTGATCTCCTTAGATAGTGAGATAGGAAGCAATAAAAACAGGTAGCAATGGATAAGAAGAAATTTTGGTGAATAAAAGCAGATAATACAGGTACGCTAATTAAATAAAATTTTTGTGGCTATATGAAGATTTTCATAACCAGTTATAAAAATAATGTTTATTAATTAATAATTGAGAAATAGGTAAACATGAAGAAAAATCAGCCATGCTCACACCATGTAGTGAAAATCACTGTTGAAATTTATATATATTAAATGTTATATATATATATTTATTTATTTATATTTATATTTGTGTGTATATATATATATATATGTATATATATACTGAACACAATTTGTATCTTACTCTTCTGTATCCTGGTTTTATTTTCACCTGACATTAGATTGTGAGTATATTTGAAAATTTTATTTTTTCATAGTTTATAGAATCCCATCCAGTGAGTGTACCAGTATTTATTTATCCAGTTCCCTGTTGTGGAACATACAGTTTGTTTTTAATTTGTCACTGTTATAATGCTATACATATATCTGTTCATTTCCTTAAGAAAACTATTAGAAATGAAATTAATTGGTCAACATTTTTAAGGCTTTTGATACATATTTCTAAATATTTCTCCAGGATATTAATGCATATATCCAAATATTTATCCAGAAAGGTTGTACAGTGGCAACATACTCTAACAACACTAGAAATTATCTTTTTGAAAAAATGTTTTTTCCTAAGTCGAATTGATGACTAGCGAGGTTAAGCACATTTTCGTATACTTATTGAGTGGCCGTATGATTTTGGAAAACTTTTTAAAACAGTTAATGTTTCCATCACAGAACTAAACGAACAAAGATATTGCTGAAGTTAAATAGGCAGAAGGAAGAAGAGGACCACAGATTACAATTGCAACTTCAAAGACAGAGAGCCATGAGACTTTCCCGAGAATCACGACTGAGTCTGCTGGAGATAGTTCATCCAGGTGGGTGGCAGTGTCAATTTGTAAGTGTAAGGATGTTTAGAGTATTTTTTAATAAATCGAATTTCCTAGCTACTTGATTTTTTTTTTTTTTTTAAATTCAGATCCTTCCCTGTTTCTCCTTTTTCAGGTAAACCTTATTAAATCTCGAGTCAATGTTACCATTTTTTCTGATTAGGGCCTGTTAATTGATGGTGAGTAATCTCCCCAGCAGTTTTTCTTTTCTTTTAAACGCATTAGTGAAACTTAAAAATGTATGCTTAAAGAGAGCTATCAGAGACATCTAGAAAGAAGCCTCTTGAAATAAGGAGTCAGATTATTGCTACATTCTGCCAACAGGACTTTACTCACTGTCTAATACAAACCTTATGACAGCCCCTTCTACTTTTGACATTTACTACTTGTTGCCAGGGAAAAGATTCAGAAAAATATTAGGGCATCAGCTTTGGATCAAAACTTGTCTACTTAATTTAAATCCAGCTGTGATCCCTGACTAATATGAAAAACAAGGAAGATCTAGAGGGGAGAACACAAATACTGGCAATATAGCTCAAGTTTCTATATAGTATCTTTTTTCCAGTGATTTTTTATAACTTTGTATTATTGAAAATATCGTATATATGTATGTATGTATGTACGTATGTATACACACACACACACGAGTAAATAGAATAATGTGATGAACCCCATGTGTCCATCACCCAGCCTCAACATTTATCAACTCATGGCCAAACTTGTTTAAGTTACACCCACATTCACGCTTTTCACTTCCGTTATTATTTTGAAGCAAATACCAGGTAGGCAGGGAGGCATCTTTTCATTTCATCCATAAATATTTTAGTATGTTTCTAAAAAAACAAGGGCTCCTATTTTTTAGCATAACCAGAATACTTTTATCACATAATCACTAACAGTAATTCTTTAACATGATCAAATACCTAACCAGTATTCAAATTTAATTGTCTCATAAATGTCTCTTTTTTTATACAGTTGATTTACTTCACTCAGGATCCAAATAAGGTCCAAATGTAACAATTGATCCCTATGGCTTTTTAAAAAATCTCTTTTAATTTATAGGTTTCCTTCCATCTCTTTTTCTTTCACTTTATTTGTTGAAGAAACTGAGTCAGTTGTCTAGTAGCTTTAACATTTTCTCTGTATTTCTTGTAAATTATTAGTTAGATCGAGAAGCTTCATCAGATTCAAGTTCAGTTTTAGTGGAGGACATTACTACCTGGAGTATTGTGTTCTTCCATCAGGAGGCACATAATATCTGGTTTTCTCATTTTATAGTATCAGCAGTCATTTGTGATCAGTGCCATTAGTTTATTAGGGTTGCAAAAAGGTAGTATTCTAATTTTGTCATTCTTTCTTCATGTATTAACTGGAATACTCCTATGAAAAGAATCTTCTTTTTATATACAGTTAGATTACACTCCACAGGTGCAAACAGTTAAGTGCTCGACTGCTGGCCGAAAGGTTGGCAGTTCTAACCTACCCAGAGGTGGCTCGGAAGACATCCCTGGCGATCTGCTTCCTAAAGGTCACAGCCTTGAAAACCCTATGGAGCAGTTCTACTCTGCACACATGGGGTCGCCATGAATCGGAATAGACTTGATGGCAACTAGTAACAACAACAGTTCATATAGGAAAGGTGAGACAAATGCTTGATTATTTCCTTTTTTTTTTTTTTTTTAACGGTTTTCAAAATAATGCATTGGCTTACTGACATCATCCAACAGTAACTAATTAGTTTTTTGCTTTTTTGTTTTTTTTTGATGTTGTTTAAAATATCATTATGAACTCATGGATTTGAACATATTTGAAGACTTGTGAAGGAGTCCCAGTGGTACAGTGGCTAAGTGCTTAGCTACTAACTGAAAAATTGGTGGTTTGAACCCACTAGCTGCTCTGCAGGAGAAAGATGTGGCAATCTGCTCCCTTAAAGATTATAGCCTTGGAAACCCTATGGGGCAGTTCTACTCTGTAGAACTATTTCTCTGAGTTAGAATTGACTCAGCAGCAACAGGTTATGGGGAAGGCTTTTGCTCTATTGAAGTTATTATTCTAATTGATGTTTGAATTTTCTGTCTTTGGCCACTTGGAGTCCTTACTGGCTTTCTTGGTCTCTGGTATGACGGGATGTTCTAAGCTTATTTTGTGCATTTCCTGCCCCAGTCCTGGAATCAGCGACTTTTCCAAAGACCACAACTAGGGGTGCTCATTGCTACTAGGTGGGTCATTGCTTCTTGGCTGTTTCAGTAGACAGAGCATGGACATATTTTCAGCCTTTTGTTTATTTTGTTTTGTTTTATAGTTAAAATATATCAGGAGTTCATAGTGACACTTTAAATTCAAATTCAGAACTACTGCTCATCTCTTCTTATATCCACATCTCTTTTTTTCCCATTGCAAGAATCCCGGTTCTCAAGGCCCCAGGGATGATAACATTGGAATATCGTCTAATTAATCATACATAACAGTCTCAGAATAATAATATTAACAGGTCCACCATCAATATGATCACCAACAATTTTATTTTGTTTTTTTTTTTCTTTTTTTTTTAAACCGTTGGCTTTATCCTTAGGGCATATCCTATTAAAGCTACACAGTCAAATTTACTGTGTTGTAAAGTGCCTTAAAATAGTTTCCCTAAGTGTGGTTATGCCATCAACTAAATACAGTTAGCTTCAGTTTTTTGACTTTTAATTACTTTTTAGGGAATTTCTTTTACGTAATTTTGTTTCCTAGTTATATAAAATATTTACAAGGACCCAAGTGTACATCCACTTTGTACAATTTGTCAAATGTACAATGTCTGTTCCAGTCTCCTGCAGCCTATTCCCTCCTTACCCTCAGAAGTAATCTTTATTATTATTTTTTTTAATCATTTATCCTTTCATTATGTTTTGGTTGGTTGTTTAGATTTTTAGTTTTTAGGAAGGCTTGTATTTTTATTGTAATGATTACCTTTATTCTAAATTATAAAACTCCTGGTTCTCTCATGTATTATGGTTTCCTATATGAGCAGGATTGAAATTAGTTAATAAATGCTTCTTCTCCCTCACCTCTAGCATCTGATTTGAGGATTAATACTTTTCTAGTTTTCAAGTGTTCTCCGTTTTCTCCCCCCATCTTTTGATAGTTGTACTGTATCTCCATTGTCAGAATATATAGCCATTACATACTCTACCCTTTTCCTTATGATCATTAATTTAGTCTTGGTCCTGTAGTTGAAGATTTATTTAATGTTCAGTATATCAATGTCTCTTCAGTCATTTTGGTTGTGCCTTATCAGTAAATTTTTCAGGAAGGGCTCATGGGCACGCTGTTCTTTAAGTCACTGTATGTTGGTAGCAATTTGTCTGTGTACTGTATTCTTGAAAATCTGTTTGGCTAATAAATTATCCTTGGCTCACATTTTTTTTTCCAAGTATCTTAAATAGGTAAGTCCGTTGTCTTCTGGAATAAAGTGTCACTGTCGAAAGTTCAATGACATTCTAATTGTCTTCTTTTTGTAAGTCATTTGGTCCTTTTGTCTGGCTTCCCTAATCATATTTCTGTAAAATCAATTCATTTTAGTAGAATACATCTCAGTTTTGGTCTTTATGGATCACTTTTCTCAGGTACATGATGTACTTTTTCAATACGTAACTTCAGATCTTTTTTTTTATTATTTTAATTTCAGGAACATTATCTTAAATTCTACTTTTTAATATTTGGTTACTTCCATTGCTTTGGCTTCTTTCTTGGAAGATTTCTATTACACAAACATAAGTGTGTCTTTGCTTATTTTCTGTATTTATCATTTTCCCATAAATCCTTTTTTTTATCTTTCTTGATTTTTTCTTTTATTTAAATTTTTTTCTTTCTTTTTCACCCTTTCTTTCTAGTATTCATTTCTGAACTAGTGTTTTTCTTTTATTTCTGAGTTTTCTTTTTATTCCTGAATTCTAGGACATCGTTTGAGTTTCTCGAATTCCAATTTATGTTGGTCTTTCTTATCTTTTGTAATTTTCTTGATTTCTTTTAAAACCTTTTATAACCTAGTTTTAAAATACTAGGTTGTAATTTTCATCTGTTTTCCGGGCAGATGCTTTGTCTATAGAGATGTTTTCTATTCTTCATACTTTCTTTACTTACAGTAAACTTGTATGGAATTCAACCCTATTCTTTCCTGTTGCTTATTTGTATAGGAAATTCGTTTTCATGAACTTTTGGGAAAAGAGTGGTGAGGATAGCTTTTGTGCTTTCATAGCTCTAAAGCTCTCCAGTTGTTTTCATGTAGCATTCAAAAATACGGCAGCTTACTATTTCAAGCGTCCTGGTTTTGTTCCCTTCCTCCACTTCTCATCTTTTGCTCGTTCTGCTTAATTTAGGATCTAGTTCTAGCATTTTTTATTTAGGGTAGGATTCTGTCTTGGAAGAGAGCTTTGGCTGATTAGTTTTAACAGTTCACAGGGTCCAGTCTGCCTTAGAGTCTTCAGACCTTACAGCAGACCCCTTTTACTCACCCACAAACTAGAGTGTGTACACTCCTTCCTGGTTTCAGCTGCTGTTCTCAGAATGGCCCACCATGTTTTCCATCAGGTGTTTTATTCCTTCCCTCTGCTTTTTCCGGAAGAAATGCTGATACCACATGGGTCTTGTAGCCGTTGTGGGAATTTCCCCACCTGCTCATATTTTGAGGTTAATGTGGATACCTTTTCAACTATTTTTGATGTAGACGTCCATGTTTTTTGTTTTTTGTTTTAATTTTACTGTAAGGGTTGCTCTGTCTATTATGGACATATTTAGAGAGATTTAAAAATTACAGCACTATGAGCACCATCTTCCCTGAAGCACTAGTGAATTCTTAAATCCTATTATCTTAATTATCCTTTTTGATGACTTCAGAGGGCATGAAGAGTAAGAAATGAAGAGTAAGAAATCATTATTCTAGATAGAAAAGGTGATACACAGAGAAGGTAATCAGTTTGTGTAAAGTTATACATTGGATTAGGATCATGCATTCTGGAACATGGGGTTTCTAATTCCTGAGCCTGTTGCTTTTTATATTCATGGAAAAGAAAACAAACTTTCCCTTTGCTTTATTTTTAACCTGAAAGAAGATTGGAATTTATGTTGATTATTTATAACAATTCATTTTGTAACTGATGAAAGTTAATTTATTTGTAAAATTCTGGTGAATGTAGATATGAACCCTGGGCTACATGCTGACCATCTCCCAGAAAGTAAAAAGAAAGCCATCTGTAAAACCTTATCAAGGGGAGAGCTACTAAAAGCTCAAAGACAAATTTAGTGGACAATTGAATAGAGAAATTAAAAAAAACAACTTTTTTTCCTTAAAAACCTCCATAAAGGTTTCCTGAGGACATGACTCTTTTAAGCTTTCAGCACCATGCAGTGTGCTGGGTGGAGCGTGACAATCATGAGGGTTGGTTTCCGTTCTTTCTCTGAAGAGGAGCTGACTCCCACAGGGGAAATTCCTTCTACCTTCCTGCAGGTTTCACCTTTTTAATGGCTACACACTTTTAGTATATGCAGGAACTATAGTGAAGGGAAGGATCTAGCAAAGTAAAGTACCATCAATTGTAGAAGGAATGTTTTGGATAAAGTATATTAACAGATTATATTAATGTTTTGGATGAGATACATCCTGTAGTGTCAGATGCCCTACTTTAGCTTAGCATATATGTTTCCATCCTTCTTTACCTTGTGTTTGCTGCCTCTGTGTTTTTCCTCATGCTCATCCTTCCTTTTGAACTAACTTTTTTATACTTATTTATGCTAGCCAGTAATGCCCCTCACTCAGTGGAAAATGTGGTATATGTATATATACACTCAGGCTTTGGTAGCTTTCTTTTTGTCCACCCTCAAAATTGGTGCCATCTTCTGTCTGTGTCTGGACCCTTATACCATCACAGTTGTATTTATTGTTGTTAGTTGCCATCCAGTTGATTCCCACTCATGGCAACCCCAGGTGTTTCAGAGTAGAACTGCTCAATAGGGTTTTCAAGACTGTGACCTTTCAGAAGTAGATTGCCAGGCCTGTCTTTCAAGACACTTCGGGATGGGTTCAGACCACCAACTTTTTGGCTAGTCGTCAAATGCTTAATTGTTTGCGCCCCTTGTAGCCCTACTTTAAGACTTTCTTTTTTTTTCCTTTCTTTTCATAATGAAAGCATCTGTAGCCCAAATGTAGGGACCCTGTTTATTCTAACTTAATTTGAGCATTTTTACATTGTGTATATGAGTTGCAATCGACTTAACGGCAACCGGTTTGGGTTTTTTTTCAATACTTTATATAACCATATGAGAGTGTTCTGTTTGTTTCAGTGACCAGTTTTTTATACAATTTCCATGCTTGTTTTATCCCCTATTAGACTGAAACTAGGAAATGGGGCTCCTTTTTCCTGTTAGTTCCCAACAGTTCTCTCACCCCAGGATGCTGCACACAGTATGTGCTCAATGCTGTAAAGAAATCTAAAACATGAGATGGCATGTTCTCCACTGAATCATGGCAGAATATTTTTCCCCTAAACTAGCATCAGGATCCCCATTTCCTTTGAGCTCCTAAGTTTTTCATTCTAGAGTATTCCATCAGGAAAATTCCCTAGAACCAAAGGATCCTCTTCTTCATTACCATAACTCCCTTTATCATCATGTCCCTTGAGTCTGAATTTTGGCTACCCTATTCTGCAAGAAAGTAGAGCTTTGTCTTTCCTTTTCTCAAACATGTCTCCTAAAATCTTTCTTCAAGTATCTGTGGAACTTTTTTTTTCCAGGAGGAATGAGTTGTTGATCTTGATTGATCTTAATGTTGAATAACAGTGATAGATTATCTACTCCCCACTCCCTATACACAACTCAAATTGCTTACGTATGTCTTCTAGTGCTCATTTGTGATGCATGATCATTCTTTGTCCTGAAATGATTTTCTAGTAGTTGAAGAAATACACTTTGACTGCAGACTAAGCAGAAATTAATAGTAAGTGTAGTCTGAGAGGTCTGAGTGGTTTCAAAAATTGTTTTCTTGTTTCTCCCCTTCCCCTCTTACTGCTCATTCCCAGTGTACTTCACTAGCCCCTTATCTCTCTGCCTTTCTCTTAAATACAGATGTTGCCCAAGGTTTCTCACTGTTATCGTGTTGGTTCTCCTGGGGTTTCCCACCCACAGCTATAGCTTCAGCTGTCAACTGAATGCTGAGCACTCTCAAATCTGGTCTCCATCCTCATCCTGTCTCCTAACCTCTAGACCAGAGCACTGTCCAGTGGAACTGTCTATGGGGGAAGAAAAAAGTTCTGTATCTATACTGTGCAGTGTGGTAGCTACTGGCTATAGGTGACTATTGAGTACTTGAAATGTGGCTAGTGCAGTTGAGGACCTGAGTTTTCAATTTCAGTTGATCTAAAATTAAGTAACTACTTGTGGCTAGTATCTACCATATTGGACAGTGCAGCTCTAACCAGCTATCTAGTGGGTATCTTTATTTGGATATCCATAGGCATCCCAAGAACATGTTTAAAACTAAAGCCATTATTTTGCTCTCCAAATTCCTCTTCCTGTATTTCCCATCTAAGGTAACGACACCAACAGCCAACTCAGTTGCCCATCTGTGTGACATCCTGATGTTCTTTGCTGCCCTTACCCCCACATCAAATCGTTCAGTAATCTCTCTCAAGTACACCCCTTCTTTCTGTTACCACCATTACTGCCTTCTGCTTTATTTTATCACTTAGCTGCTGTGAACCATGGGCTACATGCTGACCATCTCCCAGAAAGTAAAAAGAAAGCCATCTGTAAAACCTTATCAGCAACTGAAAAAATATTTGGAAGAACACAGAGTAGAACAGATGATGCATACACAAACATTTTTCCCTTTCACTCTGATACCAGTTGAGGACTTTTGAATGGCTTGCTAGCTTTGTACTCATGATTCTTGCTGTTGGATTTTCAGCCCTTTTCTCATTTCCTGCAATGAAAAGTTTATGAGTACTTTCTCCAAAGAAGCTGCATAATCTGGGGATGCTTTTAGAGTTCTTTCTATCCAAAATCTTAGAACCATTATAAAACAATAGAATTCGGGAAATTAGTGAACAGTATTGAAAAAAATAAAAGAACTGCAAGATTGTTATTATTACTATATCCTGATTTCAGAAATGTGAGAAAGCATAGCAGGGAGTATGTTGTAATAGTATCTGTCATTTTTTTAGGTCAGGTGGAAAAACACAATCGGGAAATGGAAGAGAAATCAGCATTGATTATCCAGAAACATTGGAAAGGGTACAGGGAAAGGAAAAAATTTCACCAACAGAGGCCATCTCTTATGGAGTATAAAGCAGCTGTCACACTTCAGAGAGCAGTAAGTCTGATGTAGTTAAGAGAACACTGGATTAGGAGGCAAAGACATGGGTTCCTGACTTTGCTGTTTACTTGCTATAAAGCCTTGGTCAAGTCACTTAGCTTTCTTGAGCCTGCATTTCTTCCTCTTTAAAATAAGAACTTCTTCACCTCTGGCCAAGCTGATTTAGACAGGGCTTAGTATTTCCATAGACCTCTGCAGTGTTGTTATGGAGCCCTGGTAGTGCAGTGGTTAAGAGCTCGGCTGCTAACCAAAAGGTCAGCAGTTCAAATCTACCAGCTGCTCATTGGAAACCCTATGGGGCAGTTCTACTCTGTCCTGTAGGGTTGCTATGAATTGGAATGGACTCAACGGCAACAGGTTTTTGGATTGAATGTTGTTATACACTTTGCAAGTGCAGCATATCAGAGTTGATTTTTTTTAATTCGGAGATAATATATTCAGTATAATTAGATCATTGTAATTCTTGAATTGTAGAATGATGATCTTAAATGATAATTTTTGGGGGACTTATCTGGAGTATAATAATATTTTATTGCCTTGGAGAAGCATTGCACAGGGCTATTTATTTCATTTAATGACCAGTTTTCCTAAATATCCAGTTATTTTCTTACACATGGTTAACTTTCATAGTAGAGTTTAAGGTCCTGTAATAGTTAGTTAAGCAATCCCTTGTTGAACTTTTAGGTCAATTCCAGTTTTATACCGTGATAGATTTTGAACGTTGACTGTACATAATCCACCACCCGTCAATTTGTTGCATTTTGGTGGCTTGCATAATATGGTGATGTTGGAAGCTATTCCATCAGTGTTTCAAATACTAGCAGGGTCATGCATGGTGGACAGGTTTCAGCAGCGCTTCCAGACTAAAACAGACTAGGAAGAAAGGCCTGGTGATGTACTTCCAAAAATTAGCCAATGAAAACCTTATAGATCACAACAGAGCATGAGGAGGGGTCAGTCACTGGAGCACTGGAGGAGGACATCATGTTTGATGTGGTGGGCCAGCCACGGTGCGGGAGACCCTCGATGAGACAGATTAACTCAGTAGCTGTAACAATGGACTCAAACTTGCTAGCAAATGTGAGGACGAAACAGGACCAGGCAACGTCACCACGAGTTGGAAGCAACTCAGTAGTAACTATCTATCTTTACATAATCTTTGTCAAATTCTCTGATTAACTTTTTACGAAGATTTTTTAAACCATTCAAAAAACAGGGTAAATACTGGGGAAATAGGAAGAGACGTCAGCCTCCTTCTCTTTCTGGCTTTTCTGGGGATCTCAAGCTAAATCTGCAACAAACAGTCCTACACCATCATAGAGTCACACCCACACCTGCTACTTACCCTGTACAAGACCAGGCCACCCTAGGATTAACCCATGGGTATCACTGAACAATGTTTAGAAAATCAAGATGGTGGCGATACTCATGTGAAATTGTTAACTGCAGATTAGTAAGTAAACACAATTAAGCCCATGCATACCTTGCATACTGGTTAATCCACCCCTGGGTATCAAGGTTGGAAGGAGCTGTGGTGGCACAGTGGTTATGCACTCAGCTACTAACTGAAAGTTCAGTGGTTTTGAACCCGCTTTGCAGTAATAAGATACAGCAGTCTGTTTCCATAAAGATTAGAGCCTTGGAAACCCTGTGGGGCAGTTCTACTCTGTCCTATAGGGTTGCTATGAGGTAGAATTTGACTCGACAGCAATTTTTTTTTTTTTTTTAAATCAAGGTTGGAGACACTTCCTTTGGAGGAACCCTTGGTTCCTTTCTAATCCTTTTACCTCAATGGCTACCTCCTTTTTAAGCTCTTTTCTGCCAAAGAATCAGCTGGGCCCTTACTACCTTCTCTGATTTAGATGAGCCCTGTACTTTCTAAAGGAGTCCTTTACTGTAAACTGAGGTACCTCAGCTTATCCATTCTTCAGGGAGAAGGTGCACAGAAGGAAGAAAAAGAAAAGTATCAGACAAAATTAGACCAGGGCAATGGTCAGTAAAGGCCACATTTTGCCGTGTTTTTCAAGCATCTTTTTCTAAGAGACACATAGACCCGTACTGTCCAGTACACTAGCCAGTAACCACGTGTGGCTATTGAGTACTTGACATATAGCCACCATATTTTGAAGACTTAGTATGAAAAAAGGAATATAAAATATCTCATTAATAATTTTATATTGATTACATGTTGAAATAACATTTTGCACATATTGAGTTATGTAAAATACATTATTAAAATTAATTCCACCTGTTTGTTTTTTTTTTTTCTCTAATGTGGCTATTAGGAGTCCCTGGGTGGTGTAAACGGTTAATGCATTCGGCTGTTACTTAAAATGTTGGAGGTTCGCATCTACCCAGAGGTGCCTGAGAAGAAAGATCTGACGATCTACTTCCAAAAAATCAGCCATTGAAAACCATATGGAGCAGTTCTATCTGACACACATGGGGTTGCCATGAGTTGGAATCAACTCACTAGCAACTGATTTTTTAATGTGGCTACTAGAAAATTTAGACTTACGTATGTGATTCAAATTTTGTTTTTCTTAGTGCTGCCATTGACATTGGTAAGAAAGAAAAGGAAATAATTCATTAGCTTCACTGAAATAAGTAGATGGGATAAGTCCAGGAAGAATATCCTTTTACTGAATTTGTCCCTTAGTAGGAACTGGTCATTACTGTTCTTGACAGCAAAAGAAAAGTCAGAACTGCTGTCTACCTTCTGTCCCTCCCTTACTTTATGCAGAAGCAGAGGCTTTAGGTAAACAATGAGAAAACCATGTAAACTTACCAGTTTCAAATGAAATACTTTTACTCACATAGACAAGCTGGAGTTCTCCACAGTGGTACAGTGTTGAAATTAAATTTGAAGAGTTAGCCGCCTTTTCCTTTTTAGGAAAGTTCTAGCCTTTTCTTTTGCTTTCTCATCCCTTTAAAAATTAAAAAAAATGATGCTGCTGGTGTCTGGTCTCTAGGGCCAGAATGACGACTAATTCTTGCTACTTGGATATTGCAGAAAAGTACTATAGCATGATTACGTATCTTTTTCATAGACCAGCCACAGAAGCGCTGAGTGAAACAAATCATTGGCAGTTGAGAAAGAAAATAAAATTTGGAAGATAAATACAATTTAAGAGTCTTGAAATAACAAAAAATGAGGGAAAAGTCAAGGTGGACTTTTCTGATATAGGGGCAGAGATTCCTCTGTTCTGGAACCATTACTCTGAAATTCCCAGCGTAGCAGCATAAGCCTAGAGTGATACTAAAAGCAAGGGGTGGAGGAGATATAGGAGAAGGAGGGAAGAAAAGTAAAAGGAAGAATATAAAGAAAGGACAAGGTCTCTCAACTGGGGAATACCAAGCACATGTCAAGGCTGGAGTAACATACTAAGCACAGGGATATTAAAAGAAGTTTTACATATTGAATGTCTAGACCTCCGGTTCTCTTTTTCTTCTCAGCTCCCAAAGTGCTAACCAAAAGGTCAGCAGTTCAAACCCACCAACCGCTCCACAAGAGAAAAAGACTTGGCGATCTGCTCCCGTAAAGATTACAGCCTGGGGAGCCCTATGGGGGCGGTTCCATTCTGTCATACAGGGTCACTACGACAACACACACAACAACATACTGACACGCACACTAGAGAAGCCCCGCCCACTACTTAGAATCCTAAGTAGCTTTTTAGTGCCCATCCTTAGATAACAGCTGAAACATAGGTTTCACTGGCTATCTGAGGGAAGCCAAGGCTAAAACAAACAGAATAAAACTCGTTGGTAGAAATAGAGACATTGCAGGGATAAGAAAACAACAAAAAAAAAAAAACAAAAAACAGATAATGCATGAAACAAGAATAGGGTGCTATTTTTAAAAAAGGGAGTAAACAATAAAATTTGATAGAAAAAAAAAGGGAAACATAATAAAATGGCAGATGAAAAACATTCCGGAAATCTCCTAGAAAGGAGAACAAAGAGAAAGGATAACCAATCCAGGAGGTCTAGCACCCAAACATTTGAAACAGAGAAAGCAGAGGCAAGGAAATCAAATAATTCAAGATTTCCCAGACTGAATGTTGTGCTTTAGATTAAAAAGACCTACTGAGTGTCCAATACAATGGTCAGAAAACACCCACATCAAGGCACATTACTGTGAAGTACTGGGAGCAGGACTTCTCAACAGAAACACTGGAAACTAGAAGGTATTGGAGTAAGGCTGTTGAGGGTAAGGGTACACTAGAGACATTTAAAAAAAAGAAAAAACCAAACTCATTGCTGTCAAGTCAATTCCAACTCATAGTGACCCTATAGGACCAAGTAGAACTGCCCCATAGGGTTTCCAAGGCTGGAAACTTTACGGAAGCTGACTGCCACATCTTTCTCCTGCAGAGTGTCTGGTAGGTTTGAACTGCCAACCTTTTGGTTAGCAGACGAGTACTTATCCACTGTCCCACCATGGCTCCCTCAAAGACATTTTTAGATATGGCAAGTCTTTAAAACAAAGGAGTAACTCAAGAAAGAAGACAGTATGAAATCCAAGAAACACAAGGGAAAGATGAAAAGGAGTCATGCCAGTGATAGATCCCAGGATGGTAGCTGTGCACCAGGTATAGAGAGCAGTCAGTCCAGATTAGGGGATGTCAGATAACTCCTGAAATAGTGTGTCCAAGAAAACACATTTGATTGAATGTCTGATGTGTTTTAACATATTGACAATTCAGGTAGTTTGTGATATATAATCGATGGTAAGTAGATCGAAAACTAAGCACAGGGGGGAAGAAAAGCAAGAGAATTATTCCTAGAGAATGGAAAAAATGTGCAAGAAAGGAAAAGTAATTATAGTATACTATATGGCTTAAAATGAATGCCCTTTATGTAGTCATAATTATGTAAACCCTGAATATTGACTTAACTAAAATTATGGTATAGTAATATTGTATGGATGGGGATACAGAAAGTGTGTGGGAATATAGGCAGTGAAAGAGAGCTAAATCCTTATCTTCCATACAAGAAATAGAAATACTTATATCTGAAAAATCACAGATGGAGATAAACACCAAAAGAAAAAGCTAGAAAAGTTAAAGTTGTTGCCTTTCAGAAGAGGGTAGGGTAGATGGACAGAGAACTACAGTTTGTTTGTTTTGGTCATAATTCTCATAGAACTATTTGATACTTAAATTGATAGAATTACTTGACATTTTAAGGCAAAAAAACCAAACCTGTGCCGTGGAGTCAATTCCGACTTACAGCAGCCATAGCATTTCCAAGGAGCAGCTGGTGGATTTGAACTGCTGACCTTTTTGATTAGCAGCCGAGCTCCTAACCAGCACGCCACCAGGGGTCAGCAAACTTTTTCTGTAAATGGCCACATAGTAAATATTTTAGGCTTTGCAAGTCATACAGTTTCTGTTGCAACTATTCATTGCTACAGTTATAGCACAAAAGCAGCTAATAGACAATTCGTAAATCAAAGAGCATGCCTGTATTCCAATAAAACTTTATTTACAGACACTGAATTTTGAATTTCATATAATTTTCACATGTCACAAAATACTCCTTTGACTTTTTTTTTTTTTTAAAACCATGTAAAATGTAAAATACCATTCTGAGCTCACAGGCCATATAAACACAGGCTGTGGGCTGGATTTGTCCTGTGGGATGTAATTTGTCAACCCTTGCTTTGACAGTTTGCATATGTAACTTCGATGAAAATAAAAACTACAAAGAAGGGAGAAGAGTGAAAAAAAATAGGGCAGAATAATTTCAGATTTTTCTCTAATTTTGCCTTTTACCACATTTCTCATTTTACCAGGAGTCCATTCTAAAGGGCACGAGGCACGATAACTTACAATTTTATAATATTTTCTCATTTATCAAGCTTTTTGTTATATACTGTCTCTTTGATCTTTACAATCCTGTAGGCTAAGTACAACTGGAGTCCCTGTTGTCTACAGACTAGAACCTGTTCTATTGAGTCAACTCATTTGCCTAAAATTACACAGTTTATAAGAGAAGAATTGAGACTAGAACCCAGTGATTGTTTTTTTTTTTCTTTATTGCTTACTACACAAATAATAGGGAATATATCCTTGTAAAAAATTAAAACACTACAGAAAAATATAGTTAAAAAGTCACTGTCCTCCTTCACCTCTGTCACAATTCTACCTCCCTTCTCATACACACTCAGTGTTAACCACTGTTTCAAAGTTGTCTCTACAGTATGTTGTAGGGAGAAAAGATTTCTATGATAATTACCAGGCTACTTGAAATGTTTATTAACTATTATCCTAGGGGAGAAAAATCACAAGTCTTATTTATTTTATTTTTTTATTTTCAGGCTCTTAAATTCCTAGCAAAATGCCGTAAGAAAAAGAAAGTATTTGTCCCTTGGCAAGGACTCCGAGGGCTCACTGATGCACGCAGAGTTGAACTGAAGCAACAAGTGGATGACTATGTGAGACGACACCCAGTATGTAGGCTTACATTATTCTTGTGAACGATAGTCACCAACAAAGCAGTGTCTCATATGTATATGCACATTTGTTGTTGGCATTAGTATTGCATAGAATTAATGGAATACCATAGAATTAATGGATTTGGGCCATGTCTTAGGTTGGGTTCTCTAGAGAAACAAAACCAGTGAAGCACATAGAGAGAGACAGATTTATCTCAAGGAAATGGCTCACGCAGTTGTAGAGGCTGACCGATTCCATGGGCCAGGCATCAGCTGGAGGCTTCTCCTGACTCACGTAGCTGCAGGGGCTAACAAATCTAAGATCAGGTCAGATGGCAGGCTGCTGGCTCACAGGCTGCGGTGGCCAGTGAATCCCAAGATTAGCAGGCAGTACGGCAAGCCACTGGCCCAAGTCCCAAGAACCAGAGGTCAGATGATGACGAGGATCCTGAGCAAGCAAGCAAGCTTTGCCAGAACATCCATATAATATGTGTGTGTGTGTGTATGTGTCTATATATATATTTTTTCCCCTCCCACTAACTGAATTTAGGGACCCCCCCACACTAATGCGAGCCTTTGGAGTAGGAGTATGGAAAGCCTGCTCTTGCATGCCAGATCCTCTGTGCTTACCACATGTTGTTGTTAGGTGCCACCGAGTCAGTTTGAACTCATAGCGACCCTGCGTACAACAGAACAGAACACTGCATGGTACTGTGCCATCCTCACAATCGTTATGCTTGAGCCCATTGTTGCAGCCACTGTGTCAATCCATCTTGTTGAGGGTCTTCCTCTTTTTCGCTGACCCTCTACTTTACCAAGCATGATGTCCTTTTCCAGGGACTGACCCCTCCTGATAACATGTCCAAAGTACATGAGACATAGTCTCGCCATCCTTGCTGACCACATACAGTAGAAAAAAGTCTGACTTCTACTTCTGGTCAAGATGGAGTAACAGGAACTGGATTTACTACCTGCCTTGAAGGACAGATATAAAATAGATGAAACAATAGTTTCCAAGACACTGAACATCAGACAGTGAAGAACAGTGATCCCTGTGGGGGAACAAAGCGAGCCCTATAGTTACTTTAACTTACTGCCTGGAGAGTTTCCAGGCCACAGCACAGGGAAGGGAACAGTGGAGGGGCTCAGCAGTTCATTATATGTCACTTTTACCTCAATAAAGTTGTATGATAAAAAATTGTAAAAAACCTAAGTGCTAAAAAAAAAAATAGGGGTCCTAAGCTTTTAACACACAGTCAGTCTGGACACTAATAAAATATAATCACTGAATCTCTCAAGCCCTTATCAGTCATATTAATAACTCTTCCTTTGGCCAAGAACCAGAACTGAGCTGGAGAGGGGCAGAAGCACAACTGAAAGTTCTTCCCTGTGGGCACAGTTAGAATGAAGGGAGAGAGAAGCATGCCTTCTCTCCAGCCAGTAGACCATAGGTTCCTAAGCTCTGTGGAGAGGACTTGGATGGCTTTAGCAGTTTTAATCAAGATTACATATTTTAAACACCTTTACAAAAATGATATACTTCAAGCTTCTTCCCCCAAGAAATTCTGATTCAGTAGGTTTGGTGTGGCCCCATGTATCTCTATTTTTTATATGCCTTGTGATTCTGTTGCATTTTTTAATTGAGAGAAAAAAACAAACCTGATGTAGCCAAATTCTAGTACAGCTATTTAAGATCTTGTTAGCTGGAACTGGGCTGCATCCAAGATCCAGATACTGGTCTGTTTGAGAAAGCTATGATGTCAGAACCTTTATCAGTTTCATAGCTAAGATTATTTCATCCTTGTTCAAACTAAGCTTCCCCTTGAAGCAGCTGACTAGCCAAATGAATATGATCCTTTGGCTGATTTTCTCCCTTGTTCTGTGAAACCAAAAGCAGTTATTATGGCTTAGATAAGTTTGGGAGGGGGCTAAGAAGTAAGATAACCTATTAGGTGGTAGTATGGAACAAAGGAGTGGGCCTTGTCACTCCTCTTCTAGGCCAGTGTCTTTCCCAAACCATTTGTAGTTTCCCCATGATATTGCAATCTTGTCTCTTCTCCCAGAATACCACACTGTCTGAGCAAGTAAGGTATGGGAGCATACCAGAAAGAAACTTCCCCACCTACCTTTTCATCTAAAACTCTCTTAAGAGACTATTTAATGGCTTGTACAAGAGTCCAAGGTAGACATCAGTCATAAGACTCAATTGATGAGACAGCTAAGCATTCCAGAACCTCTGCTCAACGGTTGAGTGAAGCACTTTGATACATATGTCTTTCCTGTGACAAGTTTTTCTCTTCTTTACCCCAGAGCTCTCCGATGTCAGATGTGGCCAGCAGGGAGCTGCATGCCCAGGCTCAAGAACGACTGCAACACTACTTTATGGGCAGGGCCCTAGAAGAGAGAGCCCAGCAGCATAGGGAGGCTCTGATGGCTCAGATCAGCACCAACATTGAGCAGTTAATGAGTATGTGCTCATTCAGGTTTTGTTTCCTAAAAGGGAGTAGCCTGTGCATGACTTGTGTCATCCAGAATCTTCAGAAGGCAAATACCATTTAATGGTCTTCTAGCCCATCTTCTGTCCTCTGAACTTTCTACTTCTGGATCATACCAGCACATATTGTTTTTAAGTGATGTGATCCCATAACCTCCTTTTTGACTGCTTCCTCCTCAGTCCCTCTGTAGTTCATATGCATCAGCTGAGACAAATTTATTTCAAAGGTGCTGAGCCCTACTAGCCAGATTCTGCTGTGTTGTCTCAAAAGCTTTTGGGCATATTTTACAAGTAGATAAGAATGGTTATAGTACCATTCACTTGTAGAGCATTTTATAATTTTTAAAGAAATACTTTCACAAAAATTAATTCATCTGCTCCTCACAACCACTGGCCCATTTAATGAGAGATCCCATCCCTGAAGCTAGGGTTTCAGTCAGCCTCTGGGATTTAGTATATGTGGGGCAGAAAGTCCCTGTGTTCTCTCTTTAATGACCATTATTTATGAATTTTGTATTTTTGAATAGATTAGTGGCTGTAACTGAGCCTAGTATCTATAGGATGGGGTTCTGCTATCATTGTAAAAGTTCGTGTTTTTCAATAAATCCTCTAAAAGAAATTTACATCTTTTTTTATTCCTTTCTTTTAAACATGGAAGTCGCTGGGGGGAAGAAGTCTAGCGAGGGAAATTGCTACAGGCCATAGCTAACAGCTGTGAATAGTTACATACACATTGCTAGTTATAGCTAGCAATGATAACAGATTCAGAGTTGGAAATTTCCCTGTCTGCTCTAACAGAGTTCCAGCTCTATACTCTCCAGGTTCCTACTTACTTGACACAGGACTCCTTCACTCACTTGTTTATTTTCTGTTTATTACAGGAGCACCAAGTCTGAAGGAGGCAGAGGGGAAAGAACCTGAACTCTTCATCAGTAGATCCAGGCCTCTGGCAGCCAAGGCCAAGCAGGGCCATCTCGCCACCTTAAAGCACATACAAGCACCCTGGTGGAAGAAGCTTGGGGAGGAACCAGGAGATGAGATTGATGTCCCAAAGGATGAGCTTAGTATAGAATTAGGAACTTTATTCATTGGTGGAACCAAACCCCCTTAGGGAGTTACCCAGAGAACTGACACAAATCCTGTATTTCAGGAGATTATATTGGTTCTGTCTCTGTCATGCTAGTAGACTAGGGCTGTCGTAACTCACTGTTTTCCAGAGGCTTCTCTTCAAACTGTACTTGCAGACAGTAAGCAAAGAGGTATCTTCTACCTCTATCCCATTTCTCTTTCTCTTTTCTCCACAACTCCTGTCCCTGGCCACACACAAATTTGTATGGCTTTTATTGTGAAACTTAACTCAGCTTGGCATTCTATTTATATTAAATGTGAGGAGATTTCTGTTGTTTCTAACAAAGTTTTTTATAAATAAATATTTTCAACAGTTCTGAAAGACTTGTCAGGCATACTTCAACTTTTCACATTTGTTATTTAGAACTCCTGTTTTTCTGTTAATACAGGAACTGTGCTCTTGGCCTTTATTAAGACGAAGAAAAGAAATGGTCAACTGAAGGGTGTTTTACTATTTTCTACAAAACAGTGGTTGAACCCATTTTCTGTTATTTCTATAATAAGCTACAAAACAAAATCCTCCTACAATTCAATGCAAGAAAAGTTTCTCCAGATAAAATTTCATTTTTTAAAATTAAGCTATGAGAACTGTATAACCAATTGTTCCCCTCTTTGTCTTATGTCCTAGGAATCTCAGAGCTAAATATAATGTTTAATTTCTGTTACAATCCTAGGTGCCATATGGTTATTTGGTTCCAACCTAATAATTTCTGATTTCTCTCTTTGTGTTTTAATACCACCTCAATTTGTGTTCGAAACACTATGAAATTTAAATTAAAATCAATTAACAAATCACAAGGATTTGTTAATTCATAAGGATCCTTGAGAGTGTTTATTATATAAATGAGTATAAATACCAGTATTTCTGGATGAGAGGACCAAATAGTATAATGTCTATTCTCCTCAAATTAATATTAGTAAAATTCTAGTCAAAATTATAATGTAACTTCCACTCAAAATTGGGAAGAAATGTGTAAAATTCATCTGTAAGAATAAGCAGATGAGAGTTCTGGTTTCACTTAGAATGTAGAAAGCTATACAAAAATGTTGATCCCACCTGAACAACAGAAAATGCCAGATAATCTACAAAAGTCATCTTTTTTGAGCCCATCCAATAGCTGAGGCCTCAAGACAGCCAGTAAACTGAGATGGGATTCAGTTTATGTGAAACTGTTTCATCTTTAGTAGCACACAGGAAAGGAGCCCTGGTGGCACAGCCATCAAGCGCTTGGCTGTTAACCCAAAGCTTGGCAGTTTGAACCCGCCAGCCACTCTGCAGGATAAAGATGTGGCAGTCTGCTTCCGTAAAGGTTACATCTTTGGAAACTATGGGGCAGTTCTACTCTGTCCTACACGGTCGCTATGAGTCGGAATCGACTCGATGGCAATGGGTTTTGTTTTCAGTTTTGGGGTGGTACAATCCATTAAGTGCTCAACGACTAATGAAAGATTGGCAATTCAAATGAACCTAGAGGTGCCTTGGAAAAATGGCTTGGTGATCTGCTTCTGAAAGGCCACAGCCTCAGAAACCCCATGGAGCAGTTCTACTGGGCACACACAGGGTTGCTATGAATTAGAATTGACTCAATGGCAACTGGTTTTGTTTTGTTTTTTTTTTTTTGGGTACGTTTGTTTTGTTTTAGGGTGCTTTTAAAAATACAACTAAAAAACCCCGTTGTGGTCAAGTTGATTCCGACTCATAGCAACCCTATAGGACAGAGTAGAACTGCCCCAACAAGGTTTCCAAGGATCGGCTGGTGGATTCGAACTGCCAACCTTTTGGTTAGCAGCCTTAGCTCTTAACCACTTTGCTACCATGGCTCATATCTGATTTAATTAGTCTTAGGTGGGAACCAAGCATCAGTGCATAGTAAAAGCCCCCTGAATCATTTTAATTTGCAGCCAGGGTTGAGAAACTACCTCCTGTTGAATTATGGTGTGGAAAGGAGAATATCCACAATTATCGAAAAGGCTATTAAAATACTCTCTTCTAATTCTTATCTATGTGAAGCTGGATTTTCTTCATACACTTTAAACAAAACAACATATCACAACAGATTGAATGCAGAAGCAGATAGGAGGACCCAACTATCTTCTTTTAAGCTAGATACTAAAGAGATTTGCAAAAATGTAAAACAATGCTGCTCCTTTCCCCAAACTTTTGTTTTGAAGAAGTTATTTTTCATAAAAATACATTATGTTAATATGTAATGGGTTTATTATAATTTTAAATGAATCAATAAATATTTTTAACATTTCTCTGTTTTAATTCTAATGTGGTAAATACCGACAGATATAGCTAGTGGTGTGCTGGAGACTTCTCTTACTGGATTGCCAAAGCTGCTGTTAAAATTTTCAGCAATATTGTGAACTAGTTGTTAATCCAACCATTATGAAGTATTACATCTTACAGTTAAAGAAATTATATTTAAAACAAAAGTAATATGTCTTGCAGCTGTATGGTGGAAATTCATATATATGTATATATACACACACATATACATATATATATACACACTTATTTTTTTCCCACTGCCATCGAGTCAATTCCAACTCAGCAACCCTATAGGACAGAGCAGAACTGCCCCATAGGGTTTCCAAGGAGCAGTTGGTGGATTCATACTGCTGACCTTTTGGTTAGCAGCCAAACTTGTAACCACTGCACCACCAGGGCTCCGTATATACACACACATATACATATATATATGTATATATAATATTCCTGCATATCTTTTCATATTCAGTGATGGCACATTGATATTTGTAGCTTGAAATCAGCCATGGCATGAGTGATTACACCACAGAAATCAGTAAATACACATCATAAAATTTCCTCCTAGAGAAACATTTCCTCTGGTTGTTAAAACATTTGTTGGCACATCACTGGATTATAGCCCATCTAAACAAAAATTTTGGGGGGTCTGGTTAATATTTAAGTATATTCCAGGGTCCTGAAACCCAAAAGCTTGAGAACTGCTAATCTAGATGATCATTTCAGCACTAAATAGTCTTAAACTCGGTCCGCTGCCTAGCCTATTTGAGAATGTAAAAATTTGCAATTCATAGACTCATTAAGTCATCTCATTTGACCCTTCCCAGGAATCTAATGTTAATACTACTACTACTACTAAATAATACTTAACATATATCGTGTGATATGTATCAGATTCTGTGCTAAATATTTTATGGACATCTCATTTAATCTTCACAACAGCTCTGTAAGATAGGAACATTTATAATTTCCACTTTACAGATGTGAAAACTGAAGCTGAGAAACATTAACTAACTTGCCCAAGTTAAACCCAGGACTATATAACCATTAACTCATTTCATTCAATCATTCACTCACTTGGTCTTTTGGATTTATGTAGGTTTTCAATTATTAACACAAATGGCTCATCTACACCACTTTATGTAAGTCCCCCCATCATGCATTATGCACTTCGTAGATACTCAATAATTGTTAAATGACAGAGGTTTCAGTATTTGACCAGGTGTCTCTGCATTATGTCAGAGATACTAAACTCTAAGACATCCATTCAGTCAATGAGTATATATGTATAATGTATTTATAATGTAAAAAGCACTGTTTCAGATGCAGAAGACAGATACAGACCCTGCACGTATAGATTACAATCCAGTAGGAGAGAGAATCATTAAATGATTTGAAGTGTGATCACTGTTATTTTGTAGGGAGTGACAGATGTATACAAGAGAGTCACTAAATTAGTTAGGGAGATAGTCAGGGAAAGACTCCAAGAAGTAACCTGAGGGAGGAGCTGGCCAGTTAAAGGAGTAGAACAGGAGTGTTCCAGACAGAGGAAATGAAATGACACTGTATCTGTTCAACGAGTTTATCAAAAAGGAGGCAGTAACTTCGTTGAGTGTGATCTGTCTAGCACACATGCAAAAGTGGGCTTTCCCTGCTATTAAAAGATCCAATTTCAAGTGCTCTGGTTTTTCACAAGAATAAACAAATAGAATAGAAACAATAACGAGAACATTTAATAATTAAAAAATAAATATGGAATGAACAAATTGGCTTTATAGAATGTCCATGGAAGACAGAGTTGAGGGAAGGTCCTAGATGACTCTGGAATGTGCAGTGCACTACCCCTCAGCACTACTGCAGGCATGAAGAGAAAGTCACATATCTTAATGGAAAATAAACTCCCAGGGAGCAGAGACTCAACACCTGTGTCCCTGCAGGATTCCTATTAAGCATCTTATTACTATGTCTACAATCTATGAATTATGCAGCCAAACCCCTCATTCATATTAATCAGCCTGTATTTCTTGCACCTGTCAGCCTAATTAAAGTGTGTGTAAGGAAGGGGAATGAGAAGGTTGGTAATCCGGAGGGCTGAGACAAAGAGGGCAAGAGGCAGAGGCTAGGGCTGTGTTCCCTTCAGGGATCAGAAAGGAGGATGTTAACTGCTGATTATACAAAACCTATCAATAATTTGGTTTTAACTCTAGGATGAATACACTTTCCTAAGCAGCATGCTTACTAAAGTAGTTAATGGAGAAAACCTCTTGTTAAAGACATGATCTTCTGATAAAGATCAAGGGGAGTTTATTGAGCAAGACACACCTAGGACAAAGAGACATTTAGGAAATTGACAGACTTTCTAACAATATCTGCTCTACATGCAAATCTTCAAATCTATCACTTGTATCACCAATGGTATGGTGACTTGTTAGTCCTGGTAATTGTTCTTTGTTAGGAATATCAGGGAGAATAAGTTTTAGTGACAGAGTCCATGAGAGTACCTATGAGGCAAATCAGAGATGTCAGTTTGATATGTAACTTGAGTTCCAGTGGCCTCTTTAAAGTGCTACTATCTTAACTCTTTAAATACAGCTGTATCCTAAGGAACTTCTACAGTACTTGGAAGTTCCCGAAAAGAGGGGTCTGCCACATCTCCTGAAATACATAAGAACATTCCTTGAATTGATGGGCTGGAAAAGTCCCCTTCACAAAGCTTACTTAGAGCCTGGGATTCATCCCTAGATCCTGGATCAAAAATGAGCCATACCAGTGCCCAGCACATGGTCTGTGCTTACTATTTGTTGAATAAATATTGAATAAGAGCTTATGGTCACCCCTTCTAGGGATTTTCTTCTGTTTGGCTTCAGATTGCTCATGCCCCTGGCTCTAGGGGCCCCAAAATGAGAAAGTCACCACTGCTCCCCTTGTGACTTCCTCATATACTGTAATGCTCAATGATGATTCATGGAGTAATAACAGTGTATGAGTTATTGTGGCATGAACACTGCTGCTCCTTTATAAAACACCATGGCTCCATCCCCTTTGGAATCCAAGCTTAGACCCTTCCCCACCCTCTATTATGGCTTCCGGGGTTCCTGCCTGGCTCCACAGGCTCCATGAAGGACCCCAAGCCTGCTGATTCTGGAAGGAAGACTCTTGGAGTGAATAGAGGCCCCACTTGATTGCCCTAGAGCCCAGCCAATTCTAGGCCTTTGAGTCAAACAGCTTTGGCATCCCTAACCCCTGCAAACACGGTGGACATTTTAACAGTAAGCTCTTTCTCAGCTCTTAGAGGAGCAGTTCCCAACCAGGCAAGAGCTGAGAGGTAACCCCTACCATCCTCCATGCAAGGATGTCTGGCCTCTTTAGTTCTCTTCCTCTCCCATGGGCCAGCTTCCTGTTCAGCTCTATCCCCTTTGGACAAACGAGTGCTGCTTGAGGATGTTTGGTGAGAGCTGAAAGGCAGGCATTAGGGCCTGAGCACCAAGGCAGGAGCAGAAACCAGCAAGCCTCTGCATCCCCTAGTCATCTCTGATGCTTCTGAGAGGCCTGGAGCTGGGAGGTCTTCTCACTCCACACCTGAAATCTTCACAAGGTCCAAACTGCCACACTCACTCCCCATCCTGGTGCTCATCAAGCAGGAGGCAAGGAAGCACCTGCAGCTCCACAGACAGACCAACCAGCCCCACTGCCGTTGAGTCAATTCATAGCAACCCTATAGGACGGAGTAGAACTGCCCCATAGGATTTCCAAGGTTGTAATCTTCACAGAAGCAGACTGCCACATCTTTCTCCTGTAGAGCCGCTGGTGGGTTCGAACTGCCAGACTTTTGGTTAAGAGCCAAGTGCTTTGACCACTGCACCACCAAGACTTTTTCCACAGACAGAACAGGTCCCCAGATCTCAAACACAGACCATATACCGAAATCTGTGGAGACCAGGAGCCTTGAAGTAGGCAGGAAAATGCATATTAAGGGCTACACTACATTCCAAGTTTTGAGGGGTTCAAATGGATAAAACAAGTC